CCTCTGTCTTTTCTTGGCTTTTATTGAACAGAGTGCAGAAGCTTTATCTGTGTGAGTTCTGTCTGAAGTACATGAGAAGCAAAAACATTCTCCAGAGACACACAAAGAAATGCGGCTGGGTTTACCCACCACACGGCATTCCATGTTCCGCGCCAACTGACACACCCACCTGTTACCCCTCTTATACTCTCCCTACTGGTTCCTCCCAAACCCCACATTGGACAGAACAGCGCGGGTATTTCACCGAAACAACGGTAACCAATACATGCACAGCTTTCAACAACAGTGTCAAACCCATTTGCACACAACAAAACACATGAACATCAGCGGTCGGTCAGGGTCGCCACAGTATTATATTGCACAAAAATATGGGTTTCGCTATGAGATAATTAGCACACAGAGACAAGCAACCTTTATTTTATTAATTTAGTCCGTGCAGTTAGCTTGTATCTGCCGTTCAAGTGTATAGTTTGGGTGTCTTGTTTTGAAAATATTTACAGGAAGTCGTGTGGTTTTATATTTTGCCTTGATGATGCTCTCTCTCTGGAAGCTCTCGGGATGCAGCAGGGCGGATGGAGGATGAGGAGGAGGTGAAAGACTAGAAGGCAGGGAACAGAATGAACGGATCGGGGGACAGGAAGATGCGGATTACGGTAGCCCGCAGGCCAGCCCTTTTACCGACGACGATTCCGGTCGTTTGACATGAGGATATGCGGAGAAAACGACACAGGCCTGCGGTTTGTTGATACACAGAGCACCGAGGGGAGAGCCTGTAATTTTTATGATATATTATCTGTGACAGGGCTGCGCGGCGTAATTGTGAGGATGATTTAATTGCCAGCGTATGGTATTTTGTATTTACACGTTAGTCTGAAATTGTTTCGTTATTAACGTCAAGAAAACCGGAGTAACAGTGACCCCATCTCTCTTAATATTGGTGGTTAAACTGCCATCATGGTTTTAGCCATCACTTTAGCATCATCGCCACCTCATCTCTTCTGCTCTGCCGCTGCAGACTGGATGTCAGAGTGAACAGAGCGAAGTCAAAATCAAACATACCAAAATACAACTTTACCGTACTTCAGCATGGATGCGTCGACGGCACAGCCTCGCTGGTTGACAGGTCTGTTAATATGGGCGACGTTGTGTTTGTTCAGCAACGGTCAATCCGCGCTGGACGCCTCGGGCCTGCCTCTAGCCATTCGCGTGCCAAACGCTAACACAGCCCCCCCCCCCCGCAGCGGCTGCAGCTGCTGTAATGAAGCGCGAGCGCGGCAACGGCGGGAGGTATACCGCGCGCAGGCGGAGAGGAGCGGCAGCTGGCGGCATCAGCTTCGTGGACATGATTGATAACCTGCGTGGGAAGTCTGGCCAGGGGTACTACGTAGAGATGGCCGTGGGCTCTCCTCCCCAGAAGGTAAAGGTTGTTAGATTAATCTAACATGGCACAGCTCTCCTGAGTGTATGCACTTTTAAGGATGACATTTAGTTCTTAGACAAGTCAGTATTAATGTTTGTGGTTCTAAGGACTGGCTGCTCTTGAAATATGCTACTTTAGTCTTTGCTCTCTCACTTCCAGTCTCTCTTTCACTGTCTCTTTCAGTTCAATTCATTCAGGTTTAGGCATATTGGCAGGGATATTAGAAATGTTCTGTTTAATAAGCTACACAACAGGTTATAACAAGACCTAGTGATATAATTCACGTACTGACAATTCAGTGAGAGGTCACATCACTGTAAACCTATAACACACCTTGCTAACACACTTACAGTACGTGTCCTTGTTAGCCTGCAATAATAAATACCATATTTTCAAAGGATAAGGATAATTTTATTAATGATAAGGTACTTTAAAGGATAAACATCTTTTTAATTTGTTAAAGGATCATTTATATATTATCAATATTTTAAACACCGCCCATACAGATACTAAAATCAACAGTGATTTGCCTCTACTCAAAATTAATGTCTGTTAGCCTGTCAGACCTGGATTATCTTATTCATCTGTTCCATAGACTTCCAATGATATTCAAAAACAATTAAGGGAAACACACCACCGCACTAGTCGACGTTTCCTCTTTAAGACACACCAGGCCCTGAAATTTTTAAAAGAAATGTTGCACAAAGGCTCCAAACTGCCATAACTTTTCATAGCATCTAAAGAAAAATGGAATTAAGGGCCAGTGCATGCAGGAGATTTTTGGATATTTTTAACAAATATTAGGGTCTTGTATTTTGTAATGAGGAAATGTGTCACTAAGTGCAGCAGTGTGCTTCCCTGATGTGTTTTTAGATATTTCTGAACATCACTGGAGGTCTATGGCACTATGAATAAACTAATCCAGGGCTGACAAACTGACAGATATTAGTCATGAGTGGAGGTATGTCATTGTTGGTTTTAGCCTCTGTATGGGGGGTGCTTAAAATACTGTTAATATAAAAAATGGCCGACCTTATCGTTTAATGCTTCTAATGCAATGGCTATTTCCACAGTTAAATAAGGATTTTAAAATGAAGTCACTTGATGGAAAAGTACTTCAGATGTCCGATTTGTCTGGCCCTGCAATGACAGATGGCCCCTCTGTGTGTATTTGTGTGAAAGTGAAAAAAAGGACTGAAGGATACAGACATATAATGGAACCATTAATTCTGGAGAGTGAGGAGTGCCAGCTGGGTGCAGCTGCAGTGTACAGGCTGGCACACAGAGGGGAATGGATAGAAGGAAAGAAAAAGTGATGAGGTAGTAAAAGAGGAGAAGAAGGAGAGGGTGACAGAGACAGTGAAACAAATAAAAGGCAGGAGAGAGGGAGGGATTGACGGGGGACATGGAATGAATGAGAACAGAAGGTGAAGAGAGAAATCAAGTGTGTGTGACAGAGATAGGATGTGAGCGGTGAGAGCTTCGAGCAAGTAAAAAGAAAGATGATGAGGATCTATGGTGCTAAGTGGAGGTGTCATGCTGCCACTGAGAGACTATGATGTGCAGAAAAAAAGAGATCTGTCTAGCTGGGGCACCATAGACACTGCCAGCCAGTCGAGGCCAGTCAGCACAGACAGACAACACACTGTTTTGGTGGCTAAAGTGAATGTCCTTTGACCATTCAGCTATCATTCACCCTGCTGAGTGTCATTGGAAATTTTCCATTTAACTTCATAAAGTAGCAATATGATACCAGAGTGATTTGATTGTGATGAGGTAAATGACAGTATATTCAAGCCCAAAGTGAAACAAGGGGATTTGACTGCATAACACAAACCCTCTGTATTTATAGAAAAATAGTTGGATTATATTTTTCATTTAAACCATCAGGAAGGTATATACATATATACTCAACCGGGTGCAGGGTAGCCTTAACTCAAGACCTGTTTAAGGAAACAATTGTATTGTGAGATTGTGTCAGTGATGAAGGCTGAATCGCTGAAAATGTTCTGTCTTCCAGCACAATAAAGTGATTTCTTGCAATTGAGTGTGATCTTAATTTACAATTATTGCACTGGATGTGTATGTCAGAAAGTGTTTATGGGTCAGATTATGTCACTTTGCCTTTAACTACAGTCATAAACTACTGCAGTCTCTGCACAGTATTTCTAATATAAATGCAGTAATAAACAAAACCCAAGTATATTTAGTGGATTTTAATGCATCATTTTAATTTCTGTTGCCTGTACTGCTTGAGGCTTGAAATAAAAACCCATGCAAGCATTTTTTACTTTTCTTTTGATGTTTTAAGGCACAAACATAAAAGTGATAACAAAGGACTTATTATGTCTGGCAATATGTTTAAATGTCTAAATAGCATAATCATCCATCAGGGTCAGTGACCATTGCATTTGTTAAAATGACCAATTAGGAAAACCATAGCTACAAACACACTAATAGGCTATTTGCAGGCCCCTAATAAATATTAAGATAACAGGAATCAAATTATCTAAATGTGTCTAGGGCTTTAAAAACCCCTGCATCCGGATAAATAAAACTTTATATAGATAAGTAAGACATAAATAAATGTATCAGTCTGTACATAAAATACATTGTCTGATTCAGTGGTTCGGCAAGGGCAAAATGATGAACCCGAAGTGAGAAATGACCTTACATTTAATTAAGATGCTTGGTAGATATGAAGTTGTGGAAATGACCTCAAGTCATTTATGGTAACTTTCACATATTTTGCATTTTGCGTTGTGTTCTGGTAACCACTAGATGATTTATCCTTCACAGTGGAGGGGGAAGGGCAAATGAAATGGCTGGAACAGACAGGCACTCTGCCAGGGAGGACAGGAAGATGCAGTGTGAGAGAGCAGGGAAAGACACGTGGTCTCGTGTGTCAGGATGCAGCCTTCAGTGCGCGTGAGTGTTTTTGTAGCGGTGCACGTTATTGTGTCCAGAGCCAGGTGACTCCGAATCTGTGCACATATGATTAGCGGTGTTTGTAGAGAGAACTAATGCAGGCTTATGTGTATATATCACTGATAGGGATGTAGCCTACTTTATGTATGTATGTTAGGAAAGTGTGGGGTAGACAGAGTCTGATTTTATTCTGGGCTTTTAGGTGCAGCCCTTGAGACAGTAACACTTCGGTGGATATTTAAAGAGCTAGTCCATTATTGAACAGTTTACTGTGGCTGTATGACTGTCCCTGCATCTGCTTAGTTGTTTCTATTCATCCTCTCTGTCTGTTTTCTCTCCCAGTGAGTCCTTCTTTGCCATATTTCTCTTTCAGTATAAAAGTATTTTTTTTGTGCTTACATGTAATGTAACTGTTGAGGAATCTTTAAACAGCAATCAAACACACAACAACAACATCAGTACATGTTAATTAGAACCTTATGAATAAAACTGTAGTAATTCGGTACAGTTATGCTAGGATGAAAATGTATGATTCACACAATATACATAATATATATTAAAACAGCCATACATAAAAAAAGATAATAAAGAAAAAGAAATTGTAGATTATATTTGCAATATAACATATGGTGTAAAGGATAACTTATGATGTAATATATATGGAATTTGTGATATATGATGCATATACAGTATTGTATGCATACAGAATGCAGTACAGTATTTTATATTTCTTCCTTTGCTGTGTGCCATTGTGCTCCATTCACAAATTCAGGAACAGTTTTGACTGATTGTACAAAATATGATACTCACATAGAGATGCCCGCAGAAGAGGAGGAGAGGAGGAGAGAGGGGGAGTAGAGTGGGCAACCTGAGATGAGTGGAGGGTTAGAGTGGAGACATAGAGGGGACAGAGAAGGACATTTAGGGCAACAGGAAACAGCACAGGACACTACAAGGTAGGAGAAATGGATATCAACAATGACTGAGAGATGAAAGCTGATCATCTGTGAGATCTGAGATGCTTTTCTTATTGTAACAGAAATAATTCTGCCAAGAAAATAGCCATAAAGAGCCATCAGTGTAAAAAAAGTGAAGATACCAGTAGCAGGAATCATAAACCCCATACAGATAATTGTTTTAAAAATGGCCATGTTTGTTTCCAAGAAAACCAAATTACAGATTAAGTTTCCACTCAAGATACTAAACATAATTTCCAAATGTAACCTAAGTGTCAGTTGTACAAACTTATTGATTTCAGCAAAATGCACACATAAATTGCTCTCTGTCCCCCATTCTCTCTCCGTCCCATTAGTTGAACATCCTGGTGGATACAGGAAGCAGTAACTTTGCTGTTGGAGCAGCTGCTCATCCCTTCCTACGCAGATACTACCATCGCTCTCTGTGAGTACAGACAATCATATTAACCATGCAACATTTGCAGCTGATAGTAATGACATTTTTTAAAATGTCACTATATCTTATTGGTTCATTTATACAATAAAGCTGACATCAGGATGGCAAATGAATCTCTCAGGCAGTTTCAAACTGATTTAGGTTAAATTATGAATGAAAATACTATTTGTTCATATTTACTCTGTGGTCACTGTCTGTAAATCACACAGTAGTTCATGTACTGTTTATGTTGTAACCCTATATGAGTGGGTTAAAACCCCTTTCCCTGTTTTCTTACCATCCATTCGCAGTTCTAGCTCATACCGTGACCTCGGCAGGAGCGTGTACGTTGCCTACAGCCAGGGTCGCTGGGGAGGGGGGCTGAATCTCTGTCCCACATGGCCCCAATGCCACGCTGCGAGCCAACATCGCAGCAATCACCCAGTCAGATCGCTTCTTCATCAACGGATCTAACTGGGAGGGAATCCTGGGACTGGCATATGCTGATATAGCCCGAGTAGGAGCAGCACATCACTTGGTCTTTCAAAATCTGCGGAAAAATAATAAAATTCTAATTTACACATGGCACCAAGTCATTAGATGTCAGTACCCAAGAATCATGCTGGGGAATTATATAAAAAAATCTGTATTTACTAAATACTTATGTTAAAAGCAAGATTTCTTATTATGCCTTAGGAACAGTAATTGTTACATTACTTGGCTGGTGTACCTAAGCATTGTTTAAAAAAACAAAACAATTATTTATTTTTGTCTTGTCAGCATTGGGTTAAAAAAACTAGTGAGAACAATACAGCACTCAAAAGAGATTTATACCAGGTATTTTATTATTTAATACATAATAAGGAATTCATACTCTGGTGTAAGAGGAAGTTAACTATGTTGAAAAAGAATTTTTGGATGGTCAAGAAATATAATTTTGGGCAATTCACTAATTATCACCACACATACTGTATTTTTTGTCAAAGTAATAATACTCTTGTAAACACTGGAGGAAAGCAGGGATAAACATAATGTAACAAAACCTAAACTTAACGGGTATTCTGCTGGGTTATGAGGAGGTTTGTTTGCTCTTTTACAAATTTAAAGCTAATGGCTAAAAGCAGTAGTTAGATTTGGGCATTCAGAGGTAAAGCTGTGCTGCTTTTCTCTCGCTCTTCAGCCTGATGAGACATTGGAGCCTTTCTTTGACTCCCTGGTTCGACAGACTCCTGTCCCCAACTTCTTTTCTCTCCAGCTGTGCGGAGCTGGCTTCACTCAAAACTACTCCCTGGGCAGCGCTACTGTTGGCGGCAGCATGGTGAGACACACATACAAATCATCTAATGTTACTTTATATTTGCAGCCAGTACTGGATTACATTTTTCTCTTTGCTCACAGATCATCGGAGGAGTCGACCCGTCATTGTACGTTGGAGAGCTCTGGTACACTCCCATTCGCAGAGAATGGTACTATGAGGTCATTATCGTACGTATTGAGGTGAATGGTCAGGATCTCAACATGGACTGTAAAGAGGTAAGAGCTGATAGGCAGCTGCAAATACCAAAGAAAGAAAGAATGGTTTTATAGTCATTGACATTTTAAACTCTGTAATCTTTGACTGTTTCTCAACCTTTTACAGTATAACTACGATAAGAGCATTGTGGACAGTGGCACTACCAACCTTCGACTGCCTAGAAAAGTCTTCCAGGCTGCAGTCAAGGCCATTGAGGCAGCATCTTCAGTCAGTTCTGTCTATGATATACAGTAGATACCCTTCTGTACTTATTATGATCTCTTTTAACACTTCTGTTTCTCATTTTCTTCCACTGCTGCTTGAGTGAACACACCCTTGACACTGTTTTTCAGACAGAACAGTTTCCCTCTGGGTTCTGGCTGGGGGAGCAGCTAGTATGTTGGCAGGCCGGCACTACACCTTGGCACATTTTCCCAGTCATCTCCCTCTACCTAATGAGTGAAAACCGCAACCAGTCCTTTAGAATCTCCATCTTGCCCCAGGTAATACACAGTATCTCGTACTGGATATGAACGTGGTTGCATAAAGCAAGAATTTATTTATATTTTCAGATCAGGTATTGTTTGAAGTGGCGCATGAAGTAATACCACTTAAGCCTATTATTCTGTGGAAATTATCACTAGCTAGTATGTTTCACATTACCTGGATTCATAATGGAGAAAATTGAATTCTCATGTTTGTCAACTGCTAAAAAACATCTGATTAAAAACCCTTATGAGGCCTTTTCATTTCCTGTTTATTGAAAACATAACTAATTTTGTCATTACTATGAGCTAAAGTTACACAAGGTATGTCATGTACATCCTGTGCAATACTGAGGTTTTATAGTAGGCGATTTCACTGACAGCCTGTAATCCTGAATAAAGGCTTTCATTTCTGTATACCTGGGTCAGTATGTGGTTTTAACATAAACAAATAAAAAAAAAAAACACCAGTTAGAAAGAAAACCAAGATGCTTTATGCATTGCACAGGATGCTTTACATTAGAGAAATGGACTTGTCATCGCTCTCTGGTGGACAAACTACATAATGGTGACACTAGTTCTAAATAATCTCAGAAAAATCTCTTGCTTACTTTAGTACTGAATTTCTTATAACATTTTAAACTGAAATATATTGATGATACCAGTATATTTATGATAAGCTCAAATCAGCTGATGATAAACACACAAATGAGCTCAAAGTAACACATGCACATAACGGAAATACCAGAATGAGGAAGCTAATTTCAGCTGCTTGTGACCACAGATGAGCCTCAGAACAAAGACTGCCCAGTAAAACGAGAACTCTGCAGCCATTTTCTCTCTTTTCCACCACCTTCAGCGGCACCTTTTTCTCCACCTGATGCAAGAGTATAGAGGCATTTCTGCAGGCAATAGTATATTCTCCCTGGAAATGCAGAGAAATGAAAGACAAGGTTCCCAAGGTGTCTCTTGCATATATGATCTGTGCGCCTTATCAGGGAAAAGTCTAGAGAGAAAAGAGGGAAAGGGAGAGAGCATAATGCATAGTAGCACTGCAAAAAGATGTCTTTTTAAAATAAATAACAAATACATTCTTTCTGTAAGACCCGGTGTAAATGCTTTTTTAGCTTACTGCTAAAAAAGCAGAGAAGCTACACACATACCTCCACAGACTTTTCTTCTCATTTATGCATAAACATAAATAAAACTTAAAAAAAATCAACTCATTCATTTTGTTTGTTCAAAGTAACATAAATCCATATACTGTTTATACAGTATACAGTAAATGTAGCAAAAACACTGAACGTAAACATATCAGAAAAGTACTGTATGTACTTAACAAGGAGAAAGTCTGGAACTATTGCTTGCAGATATGTAGCTCGTACAATTTGGCTCATAAAACAAAGTCCCTGTTTAAGCCTAGAATAGTAAAACAAAGTGTATACGTTCTACATATTATATATGCCTATAGAAATCTATAAAACTCTTGAGGAAAATTTGAAATATAACTCTGGAAGTGTTAATATGTACCTTTCGATAGTCTTCACATAATATTTTAGAGATTTGTAATGCACTGTTGATAATTTTGGGCAACATTCACTCTATACAGTCAGAGTAAGAGCCGAGTTGATATTCTAGGCATTAAGATAAGCACAGGCAAGCGTTGTCTGTTTGCCCCTTTCTTTTTGTGATGTTCTAAATCGAACCCTCCTCTTTCTGTTTCTGTTTAGCAATACCTACGGCCAGTAGAGGATGTGGCCTCTGCCCAGGAGGATTGCTATAAATTTGCTGTGTCCCAGTCTAGCACTGGCACAGTGATGGGGGCTGTCATAATGGAGGGCTTCTACGTAGTCTTTGACCGGGAGAAGAAACGAATTGGCTTTGCTGTTAGCACTTGCCATGGTGAGGAGGAGATGAAGAAGGGATGAGGAGGGGAGGTGGGAGCATAGAACATAAAATGAATTAAGTTTATAGTGTAAAAAGAAAGGAAAGTAGATGCTGCAGGAAGAAGTACTGGGATGAAGGGACTATACAAAAGATGAGAAAAAATAAAGCAGATAATGCAGGATAGGTCATGAGGATACCTTATTTAAAACCTTAAGAGCAGCAGCAGTAACATAAATGATCTGTTACATTGTTAATTGTGTTTCTAAAATACCTACAATTCCATTCTTGCATTTGCAGTGCACGATGAGTTTCGCACAGCCTCAGTGGAAGGCCCATTCCATGGTGTCGACCTGGAGGACTGTGGCTACAACATCCCCCAGACAGACGAGTCCACTCTTATGACCATCGCCTACATCATGGCGGGTATATGTGCGCTCTTCATGCTGCCACTGTGTCTCATGGTGTGCCAGTGGCGCTTCGCCCGCTGCATCCACCCACATGGGGACTTTGCTGATGACATATCACTCTTAAAGTGAACTTGAAGAAGAAGGGAGACAAAAGGAATCATAGAGATCGGCGTTTGAAACACAGGAAAAGATAGATTGTGGTAACAGGAATGTATAATGTTATGTATAATGCTGCTAAAAGAGAGTTTTGAACATGTTTTTTCAGGATTATAAAGCATAGTGAAAATGCTGACATACAGTGAATACACAGTGAGTAGTGCTGCCCTAGAAATGAGAGCATGTGAGGATAATTAGAGCAACTGCTAAAAACGAGAAAGTTGGTGCCATCAGTGTCAACTTGCCTGTTTAAGCTATCTATGCAGATCAACACGGTTAGAGGAACAGAGATGTGTGAATAAAGTCAAATGCAAAACAAAAATTCTTCTTTGTTATAAATAGTGTAAACACAGACCACAGAACAAGACTGGATTTGCAGAGTTTAAAGATTAAGGTCTCTTAACAATGCACAGTTCCACACAGAGTGATCGGAGATTTGGGGAAAATTGAAGAGCAAACAGATCATTTTACAAACATAGTGCAATGAAGAAACTCACAACCTGGATGTGAATACAAGATGTGAGACCATCATGTTGCCAGATGTGCTTTGCTATGGTGTGATCTGAACAAATGAACATGTGGTTACAAGTGTATTTATAGATGTTCTGTTTGTGGCTTATGACTGAATGAAACAAGTTTGATATGCGTGAGCATGCCTGTATGTGTGCATAGCTGTATTGTAAGTGGAGAGTATACAGAAAGATTTAATGAAAATGATACCTATGGAAATGAAATATGGTATTAGCGTATATGAAATTACACTATTTTGCAAATGCCAGCAAATCATTTTGCAGTGCAAATCAAGTTAGAATACAGAGGCCATTTTCATGAAATATCAGATTATTACAGCGTTTTACTGTATAAAATCAGTTTTGCGTAGTGTGAAACTGAGACTACTGAACACAGTCAACATCAGGTGTCACTTGTTCCCTCTTATACTGATAACTTAAATCTATTGTATATAAACATTGTCCTATTCTGATCTTCTGTTTACGCAGGCACATGCACAGAATACACATTGCTTATCTGACTGTTGCACCATTTGATGATTTGCACAACAAAGACTTAATAGGGCTTCTTTCATAGAAACACAAACAGCCTAACTCACCACATCTTTTAATGGGGACCATATATGCTTCACTAAGGAAACCAGCCCAAAGTATGTTATACACTAAAGAACAGTATGTATATCGACAAGGGACAGTTTATATTGTCTCAGCAAGATATAAATAAATAAACTTAGAACTGTATATTTATCCGTCAGGCCCTGGCAGCACTGTTGAACCAATAAAGCACCTATTGTAACAGCAAAATCTGATGTCATTTTGATTCCTTTGCACAAAACATTGCTAATCTAATCTTGCCAAATGATTTGATAGCTAGCTATATATGTGTATATACATATTCCCTTTATGAAAAGTAGTAGCAGTAGAAGTAGTGCTGCTTTTCGATTTCACAAATACATTTAAATAGGCATCTTTCTTAGATCAATGTAGTCCAAGAACAGAGCAGCAAGAAAATACAGACAAAAAAGCAAGAAAAGCATACGTTGTCAAACCTTGTTGTAAATGTGGTTGAAACAATCTGTACAATCTTACTCCATATTTGAGGATTTGGCAAACAATATCTGTTCGTTAAAAAGACAAAAAGAGGTTAAGACTGTGATCATGCGCCGTGGACACTCTGCATACATCCAGGTGCACCACCTGTAGACTGCTGTTCCTCTGGACCAATCAGGGGAACTGTAGGACGTCAGCGCAATAATTGTGTGACGTAATACGATAGGGTAGTGGTTACGGAAATAAGATGACAAGCTCAACATTACTCATAAATTTTACAAGGAACCGTTGAGAAAACGAGCTCAGTGGAAAGGTAAGATGTATGTTTACTATCGCAGCAAACGTTCATTCGTGTTATCTTATTTCACATAGAACAGCGATCTCAATAGTCAGCGTCACTTACAAAGCAATGACAACAACAACAACGACGACGACGACGACGCTTCTGGTGAAACTCGAGTTTCACTTCAGTTTTTTCTGAGTTTATTTGGTTGTTGTTAGTTGTTATTTATTTTATCATAGCTGTGTCACCTATCATACTACCCTAAATTAGCTCCCAAAGTAGCTAGCCGAGCTACTGGTTAACGTTAACATAAACAGCAACCAACAAAATTTAGCTAGCTAGCTACCATCGGCTGACCAGGTAGCTAACGTGTTTTATTGCAACGAATTCTGGTGGAGCATATAAAAGGACTGAAAGCACCAGTGTGTCATTAAAATCTGAAATACTGTTGGTAATGTTAACGTTATTCTGATGTTTGAAGGTTGTAATGCTTTCACCTAACGTTACATCAGTTTGTGGTATGAATAATGATAATCACTTTTATTGGCCAAGCCTGTTACACACACAAGGAATTTGTCTCCGGTAGAGAACCGAGACAGCTATCTGCATCTCTCTTTCTCACTCTCACTCTCACACTCTCACTCTCACTCTCTCACTCACACACACTCACACACACTCACACACACACACACCAATGGCGGCGCTACTCAGGTCATCGGGAGCAACTTGGGGTTCAGTGTCTTGCCCAAGCACACTAAGACATGTGGACTGGGGAGAACGGGAATCTAATCACCGACCTTCCGGTTGGGGGACATGTACTGTGACATACTGTATATCGTTTATAATGTGATCAGAGATAGATATTTGGCCACAGAGGACCAGGTAGAGGTTTAATGTTTTTCTCTAGGACGTTAGGTAAATTGGATGTGATGTTTACACTTGGCTGTATATAATCTGCTGTTAGCTCTGTGCTTAATGACAAGTTACATACACCTCCAGGTACACTTTGTATATTTAAGCGGCTTCTCTACTAACATCATAGCTGAAGTTTACTGCATGTGTGTATTTTCCACCTTGTTGTGTCCAAACAGGGTGTGGTAGGGTTATTACACTTTCCCACTGTGGGAAAGTGTGTCCAAACCTTTGACTGGTAGTGTAAGTGTGATATGTTTCATTTTAACTCAGAGGTATTTGTTTATGTCCTGTCATTTCATTTTCTAATCTATGATTGCTCATAGAGTAGCATTCATGTAAAAGCTTCTTCACTGTAGTCAGTGCAGGAACTTCAGTGGAAGTCAAATGTGCAAGTCAAATGTGCAGTGACCATAGCACTCTGAGGTAGCATCCAGTTAGTGTAATGCTATGAATCTTATAAGTGGCATCTGAATGCTGCACACAGAAGCAAAGTAACCAGCCACTCATTCTCAGCTTGTCCTCACTACTAATGGGACCTTCTTTTCTCCCTTGTTTTGTCTGACATACAGGTTGCTGTTCAGATGAGAAAGGTTCACCTGGTCAAACTTGTTTGTTACCCTCTGTTGCCATGGCAACACCCCGTTTTCACATGTTCTTCCTCTTCCTTTGTCTGTCTTCCTTCACCCTCTTGCTTCTGATCATCCTGCTCTTCGTTGTTCCCTTTTCTTCCCATCCTTCTCCTCCCTCACGTTGGCCGTTACCATCCTGTGGTCCAGGTGAGTCCTGGGCTGTCCGGCTTCACGGTGGCCCACATCATGACAAAGAAGATGGTGATCAGGGCTCTGTGCACCTGGATGTGATAGCCAACAGGGTACAGTACTTCATTAACTCTTTCTCCAATAGGAGTGATGTTGTTTTTCCATTTTTTGGTTGACTATTTTGCAGCCATAGAGTGTGTAATTTTAGTTAAGAAAGAAGGAAAGAAAGACTTCATTGTCATTGTGTGCACACAACAGTACAAACAATGAAATGGAGTTGTACAGACATGTTTTCTTTAAGTTTATTAATGCTCTCCATTTGTATCCTTTTCCTGAAATAATACCATTACTTCGCAGGGACTGTTTTAAAGCTTATTAGAGATAAAGTTTTCTAGGTCAGAGAAATGGCATAAGTTGACCATTTTTAGATGTATTTTCCCAGTTGGTATCATTGGTATTTTTCTCCATTCCAGGTAGCTGAGCAGGCAGGTCTGCAGAACCAGGGCCAGATTGGACAGTTGGAAGGCCACTACTTGCTGTGTTCTGTAAAGTCCAGTGCTGGATCTGTGGGAGGTATCTGGAGAAAAAATGTCGAGCCAGGGGAAGTTCTAGGAGCCGACCCTCATGTCCTGTGGTACTCCCAAGAGAGAGTGCTCAGTCGCTCGAAGAGATCACTGGCCTTCAATGACCCCAGCTACCCCCAACAGTGGCACCTGGTGAGAATGTAATAGCGGTTTGTTATTATTGTGCTAACTCTCTAGTTGTCTAATGGTAAGAAGTGGTAACATCTTCATTTTGCAGATAAAATAACCGTCAACCTAACTGTTTAAAATTTTGTTTCACACAGCACTTTGTGCTTTGATTTACTGTGCTTGCAGTCACAGTACCTCACAGAGGCAACATTTGATGAGAATTAGCCAAGGAGAAATATGATCTCTCTTGCAAGTTCTTGACAGTACTCTGGCTGCAGCATTTTGGATTAACTGGAGGCTTTTTAGGGAATTATTGGGACATCCTGATGATAAAGAGTTACAGTAGTCCAGCCTGGAAGTAATAAATGCATGGACCAGTTTTTCAGCATCACTTTGAGACAGGATGCTCCTGATTTTGGTGATATTGCACAAGTCAAAAAAGGCAGTTCTAGAAACTTAGTTTATGTGTGAGATAAAGGACTCTGGCCCTCCACTAGTACTGGAAGCCGGGGCTTTGCCAACTAGAGTAACTATATGGTTAGATATCATATTTCTAAGGCTGCTCATCTTATACCTACAGCTGTGCAAAACATGCATGCATGATTAAAACAACTTAAAATATAGAAACAAGAGAAGATGGCTTCTCTTGAAAAGTAATATGGTTGTCTAAAGTCTAAGGCAGACACAAAGGTGACACAAAGGCAGATGGTGTGCCTTTTTAAATTGAATTTATATTAGGGGATATATTTGAACTCTGACTACATCTGGCTAACCATGCTTTCCACAAAGTGTTGGAAGAAAGGTTTTATTCAAGTAAATAATAAAGGTGTATTTCGTTATCCAGCCATTATCAGTGGCTTATATGGGGTTGGGTCTCAGCTGCTGCAGGTTTAGTAGGCAGTCCAGACATCCCTCTCCCCAGCAGCATTTCCTTGCTACTCCTGGGGGACTCCAAGGCTTGTCCGGGCTAGAGGAGATGTATAATCCTTCAAGTGTTTTCTGGGTCATTCCCTGGGGCCTCCTACCAGTTTGACATGCCTGGAAAACCTCCAGTGGACAGTGCCTAGGAGGCATCCTAATGAGATGCCCAGACCCTTTGAATTGCAGCAGCTCTAATTTGAGCTTCCTCTATTCGGTAACATTTACATATTACAGTAATGCCATGGCTGCCACAACAGTGGCTTACACTGACTGGAAGAATTTTTTTTAAATGTTGTTTTACCTAGAAAATAAATCCCCTTGAGGTTTACAACCTCTCTTTAGCAAGGGAGCAGTGGCAAGACAGTAGCATTAAAACAGTTGCCTTCTTCACAGCATCCACTCATTCTTTTTACATCCTTGACTTGCCTTTTAATCCTTCACACTTTCTCCTCTTCTTCTTTACCTCAGCATTTCTTTACTTTTTTGTTTTTGCAGCACAATGACATCAATAAGGGTATGGATATCAACGTGACAGGGGTGTGGGAGCACAACATCACTGGCAGAGGTGTCACAGTGGTGGTGGTAGATGATGGGGTGGAACACACCCACCAGGACATTCATTCCAACTATGTAAGTCAGCATTAATAGTGATTCAATTCTATGATCAATAATCTGTTCCTGTTGGTGTTATTTACATATGACCTGTATGTTTGCTAACCTGGATTTTTTGGAACAAATAAAGAGTGGCACAGTGGTTAGCGCCGTTGCCTCACAGCGCAAAGGTTCCAGGTTCGGGCCCCACCTGGGACCTTTCTGTGTGGAGTTTGCATGTTCTCCCCGTGCTTGCGTGGGTTCTCTCCGGGTACTCCGGCTTCATCCCACAGTCCAAAGACATGCAGCTTAGGTTGATTGGTGTCTCTAAATTGCCCATAGGAGTGCATGTGCGTGCGTGTGTGTGGTTGTTTGTCTATGTGTTAGCCCTGCGATGGATTGGCGACCTGTCCAGGGTGTACCCCGCCTTCGCCCGATTGCCGGCCGGGATTGGCTCCGGCCCCACCCGTGACCCCGCTCAGGGATTAAGCGGTAGAAAATGAATGAATGAATGAATGAAATAAAGAGCCCAGGCATAAAGGAAGGAGACTGTTGTTTGTTTGAAGGTTGAGTAGCTGCAAGGTAGACAAAAAGCATTCATTCTGGAAAGAACTGATGTGCGCTTTCTGTTGCAGAGAAAAGTTCTAAATTACAGAGACTGCCACTCATCACAGAGGAGAAAGAGCCGCACATTGTATATACAGAGCTCAAAGTTTATGGCAGCAGCCCCCACAATGAAAAAAAAAAAGTTGTAATGAGCACAGTGGATATGTTGTGTGTTTGTGCTATTAACATTTCTATTATAACCAGTTTTGTTTCTCCCTCATCTGCAAAATGAATGAATATGGATCCTGTTTTTCAACCAAAGAAGGAGATGAGTGATGATGTTGCAAAATCAATCTCTATATTTGATTTTCATTAAAACAATTGCTGGTCAAACCAAACGGCATTCTGAAGTATGAGGATTGCTTTTTTTTTATGCTATGTGTTTTTTTTTTAGAAAAACACAAGTGCAATGACTTTGTGTCCCCTTCAGAGTCCAGAGGGAAGTTATGACCTGAATTCCAATGATCCAGACCCCATGCCTCATCCAGACGTGCACAGCGACAACCACCACGGGACACGATGTGCTGGAGAGATTGCAGCTGTTCCTAACAACAGTTTTTGTGCTGTGGGGGTGGCCTATGGCAGTAAGGTGGCAGGTATTGACAAGAGAACATAATTTGGCACTTTTGAAGATGCATGCTGAGTCTTTGCTCAATAATTTCTGGTGAAACACCTTTCCTTTGTTCTATTCATAAGGTATCAGAGTCCTGGACGGCCCACTGACAGACAGTCTCGAGGCCATAGCCTTCAACAAGCACTACCAGGTCAATGACATCTACAGCTGCAGGTAACAGATGTCTCTCTTTTTGGTCTTATTGGGTATTTAAAACATGGCTTTTATAAGCAGCAAAATATTACAAACATGTATGTTTGTTAATGTTCTTTGCTGTTAAAAGTGTACCATAGCTTAATTTAGTGTAATATTTACCATCTAACTAAACTTAGTGCCTATTTTTCTCTACCGTAATAACATATGAAAGCCTTGGTTGGATTCTGATTTAGACTGTTTTCACTTTTAGTTGGGGTCCTGATGATGATGGACACACAGTGGACGGACCTCATCCCCTAGGCAAGGTAAGATACTTTTTTTTGTCCTGCAGAGGGCAGTATACTGCCACAAAACAGTTAAACTGGAGCAGATGTGTTAACTAACCATAGTTAAAGTGCTTTCACTTCCCTGGTTCTTGACTGTACTAAGTCTAATATTCCATTTTTAACATTTGTTTTCTTCCACAGGCAGCACTGCAGCATGGGGTGATTGCAGGCAGACGAGGCTTTGGCAGCATCTTTGTGGTTGCCAGTGGAAATGGAGGTCAGTACGATGACAACTGCAACTATGACGGCTATGCCAATTCCATCTACACCATCACAATCGGTAAGTCACAAAGACTTTTCAGGTGTGTGTGTAGTTCTCTGCGGTCTAACTCGTGTTTTGCATGTGGACATATGCACGTAGATAATAGTGTGTGTCTGTGCTGAAGGAGCGGTTGATGAGGAAGGCAGGATGCCCTTCTATGCTGAGGAATGCGCGTCAATGCTGGCTGTCACTTTCAGCAGCGGGAGGAACAAGCTGAGGAGCATTGTAAGTTTTGCTGGAACAAACACACAGAGGGCAACTAGACCGAGAATGCGTAAATGGTAGCACATGGAACAACAAGAAAGCAGAAAGTCAGTGATGAGTTAATCTTAGCTGGAAAAATATTTGAGTGGGTGATGTCATCAAGTAACAATCTTAGAGTTGGTCCAATCATAGTGAAGAATGGAAATTCACACCTGACCTATTTATTTGGGCTCGTGTGAAAGCTGACTGAAACTGCCTAAATAGGTGGGTTTCAGTCCATTTCCAGTCTGACTGGAATCCCAAGTTCCCATGTAACATACAAGACAACTTTTTTTTTTCTTTGTCCTCACTCTCTAACTTTCTGCCATTATTTAAGACATATGAGGTTCAAGTTGCAGTCCTGAGTAACAGTACTCAATCAGTACTGCATTAGCTCCTTGTGACTCCAGAGAAGATAAACACATAAGGCACAGTAAAGTGCTGCATGACCCGCTGTTTGTCATGAGAATTTGATTTCCCCCACATGGGTCCATGTAGTGCTGATGACACAGGCTCACAAAAACTGTCCTAATGAGTTTTAACTGTTGGTCTTCTGGTAGTAGTTTCACAAATGTTCCATTAAAGTCAACTTATTGTCTTAGTAACTCACTGTATTATATACAGTAATATAATGATATTAATTATAGCTATCTATCTCTGTCTCTCTCTCTCTACTTATATAATCCTTTTTATCTGACCTTCTCTTGAAGCCTGCAGATATCCACACCAACAACATGTCGTGCAAAACAGTATATCTAATTTTGTGTTGTATGGTAGCTGAAGTGCTGCACAAGTTTCAGATAAGTGAAAGTGCAGCTCTGCATCAGGAGGAGCAGAGACTATTTTCATCTGAAATTGGTGATGGATGATGATAGGAGTGAGGACCTGCTGAAGTTCTGTTGACCTGTTTGTCACTGTTTGTGGCCATCACCATGGTAACACACTTTGGGCCAGGGATGTCATCGCCTGGGGGGATAAGCGTTTAACCAAGATTGAGCTCTCTCTGGAGAAGTAGCCTGATCCAGCACCGACCACAGTGCACTCACAGGCCTAGTGCTTACCACACACTGCTCATTTGTGTGTTAATCAGAAGTCAACCAGAGCAGCTGTTTTTCAAATGCATTTTATCAAAGCGCTGTGAGCCCATAAAGCCTGGAGAAGTAATGGGAAATTCACTTCTGATTTATTAATGGCATCTTGTTCGTCTGTTTTCAGATGTTCCTGTCAAACCTTTCCACTGATTGATTGAAGTTATTTTAGTGGCTGATACATCAACGTTTTGTGATTATTAGCTGTGGCTAACCAGATCATATATATATACTGCTATTTAACTAAACTGATTCAGTGAGTTGAGTACACTGTGACTCTTGCTAATGGACATATGGACATTACAAACACAAATGTTTATGAGGTGCAGAAGAATCTCTAATGATGCTTGTACACTGTTGCTACATAAACAGCTGCTCCGGTATTCTTTTGGGAAACTGCTCAAAACCTTTTACATGACTAGAACAGCTGTTGGAAAAGGCCCAGATGTCTTCTGCATGTGAAAACACACTTCTGTCAGGCAGGCTGTAACTATGTGTGTACCACCAGCAAGTGGTGTGCCCATGGAACACCTATGTGACATGCTTGCAATTGTGGACCTTACATATGGTGTTTTTGACATTAGAGAAGAAGCTGTAAAAGAGTATTAGGAGTTGACCTTTTTGATGTCATGTCTACTCATATAGTTTTCTTCTTTTTTTTTTATCCTTCCTCTCCTGCCTCTGTCTTGGTCATCCACTTGTCAAACTTCTCTTTGTTTTCATTGTGTCTGTATGTATATACATTTTAAGTGACCTGTTTTTTTTTTTTTTGTTTGTTTTTGGTTTTTTTACTAAAGCTAGCTGCTTTCTCTTTATCTTCACTTCCATGCAAAGCAGAACCTTCCCAGGGCCCCTGTTAAACCCTCGTCTTAAAGTTCTCTCCGTTAATTGTACATAAACAGTCTTAAACTCTGGCCACCTGTAGTAAATATATATGTCATTTTGTCAAGATGCCTCTGTAACACTGGCGCCTGAGTAAAGTATTAGTTCAGATACTGAACCTTCATGTCCATGACTTACTTTAAGTCATGGACATTTGTTTTGGCTATACCCTGTAAGGAGTGTGTATGTGCCCATATCTTACTGTGTATCCAAGTGTGATTTAATTACAGTTTATATTTGGACTACTGCCAAAGCTACTACCCCCTTGGCACTGTTTGTACTTATGTTTCCATGATTGTATCTCCTTCATTCAACCCATTTGTCTGCAGGTGACGTCAGACTGGTCCATGCAGCAGGGAACGGGCTGTACGGAAAGCCACACTGGCACGTCTGCCGCAGCCCCCCTGGCAGCAGGACTGGTGGACCTCATTGTGCAGGTCCTGGAGGGACGTTCAGCACATCATTGCTTATACTGCCACCACGGTAGAGACTTAAGGTTTTGTTGTTAATGGACAGGATGTGTCATACTAGTTACAGATTTTCCTTTTCATTCTTTTCTTTCCATTTCTCTTCATCATTTTTTCATTCTTTCTGATGATATTTCCACTTCCAATTTTTCCATTCTTTCAAAAATTTTATTTCTGTTCTTTCTCTTTCATTCTTCACTTGCCATTTCACTTCATCTTTCCATTTGTCTCCATCAGTCTTTCCACTCTACTGACATCATCTGTGTAGTTCAGGAGATAACCTGCTTCATTTACTTCTACTTCATTTGGTGATTTCTTTCAAGCAATATTAATACTGAGAACATAACACCAAAATAGTTGTAGGAATAGTTAGATATTTGTGGAAGTATGATTTCTTACTGAGAAGTAGATGAGAAGCTTGCTACAACTTATCTGTCCATTAAATATAAAGCTACACCCAACAGCTGTTTAGCTTAGCTTAGCACAAAGCCCGGAAATGGATAGGAAACAGCTAGCCTGGTCTTGCTCAAGGGTAACAAAATATGCCCAGTAGCATCTCTGAAGTTTACTAAATTACACATTATATGGCATATTTCTTTACCTGACATGAAGGTAACAAAACTCTTGGAAGGCACTGCTTAGAACACACACCCCCTTTATCTTTGAATTGTTGTGGCTGTGCTCTTGGCCCTCAGAGAAAATTATATCCGTTTCATTTGTTTGTGCATTTCAGTTTTTACATAAAAACAAAAAAAGCTAACTTGGCCACAGGTAAAATCTTTATTTGTCTTAATAGTGTGACAACAGTGCAGACTGGAGGGTGAATGGAGCTGGTTTCCATCACAGTCACCAGCATGGCTTTGGTCTGCTCAGTGCTTGGAGACTAGTCAATGCTGCCAAGGTACTTATATATACACACACAACTTTCCACAGTGGGATGAGTAAGGGATTACAGAATGCATGTAAAAAGAAGAATGAGTTATATAAAGAATTCATAAAGGACAGATCCAAGAAGGTGGAAGAAAAATATAAGTTATATAAGAACAAATTAACTGCGTTATTGAGGATATGTAAGAAACAATATTACTCTAAAGTATTAGAGGATAAAAATAACATGAAAGGTACTTGGAATATATTAAATAAATTGATTAGAAACAGTACCAGCAGGAGTAACTACCCTCAATATTTTATGGACAATGATACACCGGTCAACAGATTTGAGGATGTAGTTGAGAAGTTTAATAGGTTTTTTGTGAATGTGGGTCCTGG